AATGCAATTTTTAGTGTTTGCCAAAAATTGTGAAATATGATTAAGATAATTATTCAAAGTCCAAAGTAAATGAAGGGTAAATGAACTTCAAAAATAGGTTAAATACTTCCAATTTTTTTACTTCCTTGGGCTGGGGTGATAGCAGTGGGTAAAGTACTTGCTGTATAAGCACGAGGACTTGAGCTCAGATGCCCAGAATCCATGTAATGCTGGATGTAGTAGCACATGTCTGAATAGTAAGATGAGAGGTGGCCACAGGAGAATTCTCAGAAGCTCACAGGCCAGCCAGCTTGGTGTACATGGAAGTGAACAGTTAGTAACAAGAGACTCTGTCTCAAACACTGTAGAAGACATGGTCTGACACCCAAAGTGTCATCTGACCTATGTGTACAATGGTACTCACATACCTGTAATCCCACACAAACATGTCCCCCAATATGGTGTGTGTGTGTGGGGAGATTTAAAAATTATTCCCACCAAGCCAACTTCAAATCATCACACGATAAAAAAAAATTGCAGTATAATTCTTGAAATACCATCTCTGTTGGCTCCCCTAACTTTAGGTTTCTTGCAAAATTTAAGAACAATCTTAACTATTACTAGAACAAAAAAAGTCATATAGAGCAATGGAACAGAATAAAGAGTCCAGAAATTTACGAATTTGCAGTCAACTGATCTTAGTCAAAGGTCAGCATCTTGAACAATAGGGAAAGGACAGCGTCTTCAAAATACGATACTAAGGAAACTGGATATCCACGTGCAGAAAGATGAAGCTGGATCCTTACCTCACCTGATACACAAAAAATCTGTTCAAAATGGATTAGAGTTAAGCTTAAGACCTACTACTAGGACAAAATGTTTCATAACATTGGTTTAGAATGAACATATTTTTTTATGACCACAAAAGTATTAGTCAGAAAAACTAGAAATAAAGAATTGAGATTGCACCAAGGAACAAGGAAAACAGCACAGTGAGAAAGTGTTTGTAAGTCATTCATCCAACAGGTGTAAGGAACTCAACACAATAGCAACACAACAAATCGCCCCTTCTCTAAAATAAGGCAGAGCCAGATCTAGTGGTCATGCCTATAATTCCAACATTTGGGAAGAGAGAGGAGGACCATGAATGGGTGGCCTGTTTGGACTATGGGCTACATACAGAGACTCTAAGAATATCCTTCCAAACTAACAACAGAAATAGCAATTTTAAATAGAGAGAGGCTAAAGACTTGCAGAAAGATTTCTCAAAGGAATACGTAGAAGTGGTCAACAGGTATATAAAAATGCTCAACTTCACCAGTCGTCAGGATAGTCATATTAAGCCACAATGAAATAAGTCTGATAAAGTGATACATGTGTCAATCAGCTTCATTCAGCTACTCCATCGTGCATATGAGTGCCAAAGCATTGTGTATATCACAAATATACATAATTTTATTGATTAAAAAAGAGAAAAGAATGATCTTAAAATAAAGCATTCTTGGACTGGAGATATGGCTCAGTGGTTAAGAGTACCAACTGCTCTTGCAGAGGACCTGGGTTCTATTCCCAGCACCCACATGGTGGCTACGAACCATCCTTAACTCCAGTTCCAGGGGAACCTGAAGCCCTCATCTCACCTCCACAGCACTGCATGACACGGGTGGGTGCAGTCACATATATGCAGGTAATACACTTGTACATATAAAATAAAAATAATAAATAAAATAAAATAAAGCATTCTTCTATTCTGAAGATAAACATCAATGGTATTTTGACAGCCATAATCAGCAAATTGTTGGTAATCAAGGGAAACCATGTCCAACCTTCTCTAACTCTCCTTCTTGTCACCACTGTCTTTCTCTGACTTCCCTCCCCTCCTCTATTTCCTTTCCTTCCCCCTTCCATCCCTTCAGTTTAGAAGCCGATATTTTAAAATTTTCATTTTAGTGTATGAGTGTATTGCCTGCATGTATGTAAGTGCACCTATGCTGTGCAGTACCCGTGGAGGTCAAAAGAAGGCGCTGGATTTCCCTGTAACTGGAGTTACAGGTGGTTGTTAGCTGCCATTTGGGTGATGGGAATAGAACCCAGGTCCTCTGCAAGAGCAACCAGTGCTCTTAACTGCTGAGCTATCTCTCCATCCCTGAAGACAATATTTTAAGATGTTAATAGTTAATCCTGATGTTTCCACACTTCAATTGTTCTTTTCAATTTCTTTATAAAAAATAAATAAAATAAAACACTATTACCTTTTCCCCCCTTGCAGTGAATCACTACAACATTTTCAGGATCTTGAGCCAACCACTCATTTACTTCCTTGGAGAACAACAGCATCTCCCTGATTTCAAATATAAAAATTTTAGGTGAATTAAAATTTTTCCAAAACACGATTTTCTAAAAAATTCAGTCCAAGGTATTTATCCCTCTTCTGACAGTCAACATAACAAAACTTACTCAAGAGTGGGGACATTATGATCATCAATCATGATTCTACGGACCCTGTGGTGGAAGTGCTTAGGATTATAAGCTCTTTCACCTAAAATAAACAATACATATGTCAATTAATACATATATCAAATAATACATGTTTCAGTATTTCTATGCCTAATAACATAGAAAATTATAAAGTTCTGAATAAGTTAAAGTTTTCTGTGGGAAATCCTTATCCATTTTCAAAAGTAGTTTTCTAGCTACAAAAACAATTGTTCAGAGTCTCAAAATCACAAGGATACTGGAGTTTTATCTCAGGCAAACTAAATTCAACTTGTTTTTGTTTAAGAGACTTCATTTTTTTTTTTGTCTTTTTTTGAGACAGCATCTCCCTGCAGCCCCAGCTGGCCTGGAACTCACTATGTAGACCATTAGCTTCATTTTTAACTTTATAGTAGACTCAAGGATAGTTAGAAACCACAGAGAGGAGAGGAATGTAGCTGCCACCCGAAAATGCTCATTTACTATACAGGCAGAGAGCAAATCACAAGAGACAGACTTACCACTAAACTGAGGTTTAGTCTGTTTTCTACAGAGCTGGGTTTTTCTTTATTTTTCTACTCAGTGCCCTGTTCTTATCATAACCTGCTCCTGGTGGGCTAGAGAACATACTTGTTGAAAATTCTATACCTTAAATGCAATGTGGCAAGAAAGAAAGGTTTCCTGATCCAAGTACCGCTCGAGTAGACCTTCCCAAACATGGTCCACCTCCACTCTGCCTCTTTGGTCCTGCCGGCCTGCCCCCACCTCCTCCCTAGGGTACTTTGTGCTGTCAAGCTAACTTTTCCCACCAAACAGCACAAGATGGGGAGTTTTGCTAGTCACTAAATACTTAGGACCAAATGAAATGTGAAAGAGGAGCTTCTTATTTGTAACAACCTATTCTCTAACTATAGTAGCACAGTGCTGAGTTACACCTACTGCATAGATTGTAGACTTGATAGTGGTTTGAATGCTTGGTATCAAGGAACCGCACAACTTCCTTAAAAAAGACAGACACAGGGGCTGGAGAGATGGCTCAGCAGTTAAGAACACTGGTTGTTCTTGCGGAAGACCTGGTTCGAATCCCATCACCCACATGGCAGCTAACAACTGACGGTAACTCCAGTCCCAGGGGATCCAACAGCCTCTTCTGACCTTTGTGGGCATTGGATGCACTTACCTACATGCAGGCAATACATGCATAAACATAAGATAAAAATAGTAAAAATTAAAAAAAAGACAGACACAAATGTTACATACTTAATACAATTCAAGAAGAAGCTTGAAGTGATTAGGATAACTAAAAACAGTTCCTATACCTTCATTTGCCTCTCACTAGCATCTTCTAGGGGGAGATTCAGGGACTGAGGATATATGGGTTCTAAATCATATGTAACCTGATGCCTTTCAAATATCACATATAGAAGTCTTAAATACTCATATCAGCTTCTGTTCTGGTTTAAACTCAGTGCCCCCCCATAGGCTCAGTGGTGCTGCTTGGGAAGGTTGTGAAGCCTTTGGGAGGCAGAAGCTTGCTGGAGAAAGTGGGTCACTGAGGAAAGACCTTAAGGCTTTATAGCCCAAGCCCCACTTCCTGCTCACTCTGCTTCCTGAGTATAGGTGCAATGTGATCAATCAGCCTCCTGCTCCTGCCACCAAACCTTCCGACCAAAATGGACTGTATCGCTCTGGAACTGTAAGCCCAAATCAACCTTTTCTTCCTTAAGCTGTTTTTGTCAGGCAAAATTTACCACAGTAATGTGAAAGTAACTAAGCTTCTACTACAATGTTTATTGCCTACCTGAGAAGGAAATCAGCTTAAGTAAAGTTCTTACAAACCATTCATTCATAGTGATTCATAGTGAATTTAGTTATCTACATCTAATTCTGAACAGATGTCTTTTATATAATTGTTTGGATGTTACAGTCCACGTACCATGAAGATAAATAAATGCAGAAAGTATATAATTCTGTGGTATGCATGACAGAAAAAGAGAAATTATATCAAATCTTAGACAAATGGTGGAAATATGGAGATGTATAGTTCATCTGCATTTTCTTATGTTTGAAATGAATATAATGTGGTGGGGTGGCTATGGGATATAGGAAGGTACCAAAGGGGAGAGGAAAGGGGAAGGGGGCATAACGATGATTTAATGTATGACATGCACAAAATTCAATTAAAACATTTATAACAAAATAAATATAAGGTTGGAATGTAGGTTCACCTAATATGCAGAAGGCCTTAGGGTCAATCCCCAACACAGCACATTTATGTGTATTCATAGCTTTAAAACTAAAAACCAAAAAAATTATTTAAAAACACATTTAATATCATCACACTAGTCAAATAATGTTTTCAACAAACTTACTACCTGAAACATATATTCAGATACATATAGGTATCTTGGTTTACTAGGAAAATGACATAAAATTTAAAAAAGGATTTGTGTATCACCATCAGACCATGTTTACTGGCTTAATGTTCAGAAAAAGAAAATTAAGGCATCAACGTTACTAATAAACTGGTTATCTCTGTCTGAAGAAAACAATAAATCAAAACAATAGCTTCTCCGAGCTTACACAGAAGGGGAGAAAATGGGATAAATGACAGTAATCATCATCATCATCATCATCATCATCATCATCGTCATCTGAACCATCAATAAAAAACTGACTGACTGAATGGAGACTATACCACTGGATATATGAATTACTACCTCACTGTAATTCCTTAACAACAAATAGTACTCCACCAAAAAATAGTGAATTCACAAAAGGAAAAAATCAAATAATCCTTACAAATAAATGTTCAGTCTTGCAAATAAAAATTAAATGCAAACAACATTAAAATGAACTTAGCCCCTGCCTTTTGAGTGAGTAAACCCACTGTTGACATACAGCATGAAAATAAAAGCTCTGATTTATTGGCGATACAGTACTCTGGATTTGAAAGTATAAATTAATAACTGTAAAAATATCCTTTTGTTGTGTTTTATTTTGATTAAGAATCCTACTATATAGCCCAGGATGGCCTGGAACTTGCTATGTAGTCAAGGTTAGCCTCAAAACCTTGAGATTTGTGCCTCAGCCTCCCAAGTACTGAATTTACAAGCAACCACTACACTTGAATGAAATATATTTTTTAATACACAGTTTTACTCCTAGGAATCTATTGAAAAAAAAGTCACATGTCCAAAGATGTTTATTGTTGTGTAATCAATAATGACAGACAAATGTCAAACTAATATAGAGGTTAATTGCAACACTAATGAAATCATATGCAATCATTAAAATACTTTCCTGTCCTTCAAGTAGGTATTTCACATTGATAAATTTATGTAGAGCTTCTTTATTTCTTTTTTTTTTTGTGTGTGTGTGTGTGTGTGTGTGCGCGCGCGCACACACACACGTGCACACGAGCATGCAAGCATGTGTTCAATGACTGCAGAGACCTGAAGAGGGCATCTGATCCTTAGGAGCTGGTGCCACAGGTGGTTGTGAGCTCACACACACAAGTGCTGAAACTGAACTCTGATCCTCTGCAAGAGCAAGTACTCTTAATTGCTGAGCCATATCTTCAGCCTCCTTTTTATTTACTAGTTTTCTCATTGCTGTGACCAAATACCTGACAAGAAGCAACTTCAGGGAGAAAGACTTTTTTGGCTTAAGATTAAGAAGGGATACAGTCCATTATAGAAGGGAAGGCACAGTAGCAGGAGTATGAGATGGCTGGTCACACTGCATTGGCAGTAGAAAAGCAGGGAGTGGGCAGGAGGTGGGGCTATGCTAGCAAACCTCTAGGCCCATCCCCAGTGATCTATTTCCTCCACCGAGGCTTCACTGTTAAAAGGTTCCACAGCCTTTTAAACAGTGTCACTAGCTAGAGACCAAGTGTTCAAACACTTGAACCTGTGGAGGACATTTCACATTTAGACCACAGTCTTCTGCCCCTGAGCCCCATGGGCTTTATGGCCATCTCATAATGAAAAATGTGTCCATTCTGATTGTAAAAGGCATCACAATCTTTAATAGTCCAAACACAATTTAAATATCCAAAGTCCTTTCTGAGACACAAGGCAATCTCTTAAGTGTGAGCCCCTATGAAATAAAATAAAAAAAACAAGTGATATAGTTCCAATATGCACAGCATAAACATTCCCATTCCAAAAGGGAAGAATAGAAGGATAACAAGAAAATATTAGACCAAAGCAAGACGGAAACCCAGTAGGTAAAACACCAAATCTTACAGATCTGTGTTTGGCATGTGGAGCTCATGATGGAATCATCTAGATTCCAAAAGGCTTGGGGTACCCATGCCCCCCCCAGATTCACAACCTGCAGCCACACAGCTTCTCTTCCTGGCTGAAGCGTTCTTTGGTGGACATCTGATGGTTCTGTCATCGCCAACATCCTAAGGCTTCTATTGTAACAGCTTTCACCTTCACAGCTTCATATAGCAGCTTCTCAGAATGTCTTTGCAGGGAATGACTCTGCCACACATTGTGCGACCTCAGCAGATCCCTGGAACTTTGGCATAGATCTCTATGATCCACAAACATTTGCATTTTTCTTACCTATAAAACCAGTATCACATAGACAATGCTGTCATGTTCTGATGTAAACTCGGGATGTAGCCTGGCTCCCTTGGACCTGTAGTAACCTCTGTATGCCTTGGTGCTAAATCTGAAAAAAGCATTTTCCTAGGCAGTAGTTTTTGAGCAGGGAACTCCTTCTGAGAGTTTCTCAATTCAGGCTCTTTCCTTTCAAATGAATTTGTCTTTTCACACATTGAAGGCTTTGATGAACAGTGTCTTGACTGCAGGGCATCTTTCCAGTGCAGAGTACTAAGTTTCTCTTTAATGGAGCTAACTTCCAGAACAATTACAGCACCTTTCACTCCACCCTAGCCACATCTTTAAACTTGCTCATGCTACTTTCCTTGTCAGATTGCATTTATTTCCTATCTTTCTATTTGTGATTTCCTCCAAACAAATTAGTTCATTATTTTGAATTCAGCTTCATTTAAGTTCTTAAGACACAGGCAAAATGTACTCAGATTCTTTGCCAGAATGTAACAACACTGGCCTCTGGCCTAGTTCTGGATAGAGTCTTTGTTCCCCTCTGAAACCTCATGAGCTTGGCATCCACTGTCTACATTTTCTTCAGTATTCTGGTCTTTCAGAATCTCACCAGAATGGTCCATTAAACTCTGCTTATAGCATTGTAGGGCTTCCCTATCCCACAGTTCCAAACTCTTCCACATTTTTTCCCAAAAACTGGTTCCAACTATCTAGGAATTCCATCGTCAGGCTTATCACAACAGCAGCCTGACTTCTTGGTATTAATTTTTCTATATTAGTTACTTTTCTTATTGCTGTGTCCAAATAACCAACAAGAAACAAGTTTAGGAAGGAATTTTTGGCTTATGCATGGAAGACATGGCAACAAGCATGACTGCTCTCACAGCCAAGAAGGGGAGGGTGGGCAGGAAGTTGGGTTGGCCATCAAGCCTCAAAGACCTCCTTCTAATGACCCACTTCCTTCAATGAGGCTCCATCTCATAAAGGTTCTATTGCCTTTCATTATAGCAATACCAGCCAAGGACAAGTGTTAAAAAATGTGAGCCTTTAGGAGCTATTTCACATTCAAACCACAACATATAGTCACATAAAATAATCAATAGTTCTACATGAAAAATTAATATACATGCATGACCAAGTTCCAGGGATATTTTAAATAATCTTCACATTTCACTCAGTATCCAAAACTGATCTTAAGGATTTGATGTTTTGGTATGAGTTTAGCCTTGACTCCATGTGTTTTGTCTTCGTTTTCTGCTGTAACTAGTTGGCCTGAAGACTCCAAAATACCTCCTAACCAAATTATCCATACTGTGACATAAGACAGCAAGAGAAAAAAATCAGCTATGCTGCACAATCTATTGCTAGATGGATAGTTTATGTTCTTATCCAGAATAAAGAATACACAGCTACATCA